AAAGTTCTTGACGTTTGGAATAGTACGTCCGGAACGTAACGTAGACGCGGTCGACCGCCAACCGCGCCGGCATGAGACTATCTGACATCTGTATTCTGTGATTCGGTGAATGCAGTGCACAGAATACACCCGCCTCCCGACTCTTACAGCTTAACGCGCGCCTAAAAATGACACGAGAAATAATAATCCTTATTTATAATTATAATCTATATCTAAAGGAGCTAACAAAGCTCATTTAAATATATATATGTTTGTACAATTAAAAATACGTTAACATATATATATTTTTAAATTTATTAAAACATATATATTTTAAACATGTACATTTAAACATATTTTTTAAATATTGTATTTTTGTAAAATTAATACAAACCAGTTATAAATAGAGATACAGAAGATTTTTAATCTTCTGTCTAAAACCTAAAAAAGGGGGATTTTAATTATACAGTAATACAGATCCTAAGATAGTAATTTTACGTAGATATAGCTATGTGTATAGGATTTTATGGTATTACAACGTTTATGGCACGCTATGCAGTTTTATACTCGTTCAAGGATCATCCATCTCCTTTGCGCATCCCACCTGCCGGATAAAAAATAAGGAGGGCTTACGTTTCGGCGAAATTACGATTCGAAGCGAAGAGCAGCATATTCTTGGACAGGTACAAGGGGCTATAGACATTTACAAAACTAAAGCTCAGTTCATTCCCGCGTTATCATACTTTGTGTAATATAGAACAACTTGTCAGATTTACAACGAAGGGTGGGGCAGAATATAATCGTTCGTAAGATCTATTCGATTACTGAATCATTATTTTATGGTAATAATAAATCAAAAGAGAAAATAATTCTAATGTGTCTGAAATTAAAATACTACTTTTTTGTTATGTGTTGGATGTTATAGTAAGAATTTGTCGAAATAAATGCGACAATATAGACATGAACGGTTAAACTTATCATCCTATATTAGACGAAGTAGCAATGAAAGACGGTTCGCATGAAACAGACTATAATTTTGATGCATTATCTAGCATACGGGATCTTGTAAATTCCTTTGCTGGGAGCGCGAACGAAGACTCGTTTGAGAATTTTGAAACATAATTGGTAACAATTAATTGTACAAACATGAAACAAGAAGTGTTTTCGATAATCTCTATTAGATATAAGATATAAGACTATAATTGCATTTAGTTCATAGCACGATATCGCAACGTATACATTATAATAAACACATCCTAACAAACATATTTTAACTGTTGGCCAGGATTAAACCACAATGCTTCCAATGGCGTAATCCGAAATGAGCTTAAACCATCGAGAAGCATTCAACTCTCGTTCCCCCGATTTATCTCAGCGCATCCTAGGTCAATATTGATGGATACAAAGTCAAGAAACTTCACGGCGTTGTTTGCCCACCCCATTGTACAATATTGTTGGAACTTGTTACTGTTCGGCTACCACACTAAATTTATCGTCGCGTATAATTTTACCTACCTCAAATAGGGGTGTAGATTAACAGTAAAATGGACAAGACCTAATGTAACAGATCTCATATTTAAGTATTAGAGATCGTGAACCAATCACCGCGATGTGTTTTTTTTGCGTTTATAATTTAAAAACTTACACTCTCTTAACATTTACAGCCGCGCCAGGCATGTTTATATAAAAATTAAATGAGATAAGCTCTAATCGATATACCTCTATACACCTTATATATAAAGCCTTTTTTTATTAAAAGCGCTAATCGCAGGAACTTACTAGTTTGAATTTACAAATACTTTTTGTGTTGGTTAGAACATATATCAAGGAAGGATATAAGCTATTAAAGATCGCGCTGTAATTAATAGGAGCGAAGTAACACGAAAAATGTGGAAAACATGGGAAGAATTATTCAACTTTGTGTGCTTCCGATTCCCGAAGATAACCCCAAAATACGTATACAAAAATATTCTTCTTTAAGATTAATTTAGAAAAACGACGGGACGCGACCGACGTCGTGGGTAACAGCTTTAAATGTTTATAAGGATGGATGCTCAAATTAACTATACTACGCGAACGAAGTCGCTGATACAGCTAGTCTGTAAATAATTGTACTATTAATACAACTTTAAATAAAATACAATTTTGCGTAGTCACAAATGGCACAACACGGACTGCCTCTGACTGAATCTGAAAGCTACATTTGAAAATATTTAAATTTAGAATTGTTTACCGATCTAATTATTTATACGTATTTTGGTGTTTTCGTTTTACGTAAGTGAATTCGTTGAAAGCGTTGTTTTCGCCTCTTGAAATACGCGGCAAGTACTTAGGCTTTTCTCATGGTAAAGCTTCGAAGGACACGACAAAGCACTTTCAAAAGCTTAAAATAAAATCAAAGTTCAAAGCCGCAAAGCGACGACTTTTAAATCCTGTTAGACAAAACAGCTTTGGAGCTTCAATTCTTTCATTGATAACGACGTAATGTCCTAGTATAATTCCTTGAATATTAAGCTAGGATAATCTTTTTAGTCTTTTCATATCTATGTTATCTTTTTTAATTCTTTGATGAGTATTAAAGCTAAGATGTATTCTTGTAAATACGAATTATTATTTTTGAGTGTAATAGTTTTTATATCAATTAAAAGGACAAACAAGTTTAGGATTCAACGGATTAAACCCAAGCAATATAATATCTAATTTCAAAATCATAGACTAAATAGAAAACCTTTAACATTTCAATGTTTTATATACTGTTTGTAGTTTACGCGAGACATTAAAAATACTTTAACGGTTTAAAACGCGATATATATTAGTTAAACTAATTTGAAGATTATTTTAACTTTGGTCCGACGTTTCGGATGCTTTGCAACAGCCATGACCATGTGACCGCGGCCCGTTTTAAACAGTTAAAATGGTTTATTTAAACTTCAATGTTTTTTATCTGTGGATGTCGATGGACTAGTATCAAAATTAATTTCATCAATTCACCATTTAGAAAAATCTGAAACATGCTGAATTCAGTGGGATCGAAGCCACAACCTGTTCCTTATCAGTCCTATTCAGCAACTACTGAATCACGAAGCTCGTGAACAGTGAACAATATTATTTTTAAGTTTTAAATAAACCGTAAACAAAAGACGATGTCGTTGAATTAGTTCTTAGAAACTTAATAAGCAGTACTTAAACGCAATTATGATATGTGATATCGTTATATGTGCAAACATAACTGTATTACTGGATACCGTGATACGGATACGGCCTTGTATGCCGTATTAAGTAAGGTGTCGTTCACGAACGAACTAAACGAACCAGTCAGCAGATCTTATCGCGAACGAACGATTCATTTTGTTAGAAATAATTCGTTCTTGATGTCTATAATATAGTAATATGAGTGATCGAAATGAATGATTAGGATAACGGATCAGGAACTCTAAAAATACAACACGTTCAATCGATTCAACGGGTCAAATGAACTAGTTCCATGAGAACTTTGCAATGAATTTAGCTTTTTTTAAGGTAGAAATTAGCGAATCAGTAAATATTCAGGTCCTCAGTCCCTGAGAAACACGCATTTTCCGAAAATATCGAAAACTTAAATACAGAAGCGTGTCTGAATCTGGTCCACGCAAGGAAGACATGAGATTTTGGCTAAAATAGAACAAAATAGCAAAGAATATTCCCCCTCTTCTCCCTCCGTCACTCATACGAAACGCATTGTCGGTCTCTTTCGCTTCTTTTTTTATTCATGAAAAAGGATCATTATTTTGTGCAATTCACTTCCTGCTTTTGTGTTCGAGTCGAGCAGAAAACAAAAATAAACAGCACGGCAACCGCACGGTTCATCTGTCTACTTGTGTCTTCCTTTTGGATTCGGTGTAGAGAAACACGCTCTACGGTCTGAACTATGGCTTAACAAAATATGGTATGCCAAAGAAGAACTAAAATAATTTATCCAATCCTGTATAATTTGAAGTAATCTTATATCTAACTTCAGTTACAGGTTACAGATTAATACTTTGTCTATGGTACAAATCCAAGTTACCAACCTTTTTTATTATACTCTGTTGAGGCCTAGTACCTATTTATAAGGGTAAACACGAAATTCATATTGGTTTTTAATTTAGGAAGAAGTAATACAAGGTGGTAAAACAAACGTCTATGTGGGAGTAGAAACTCGTTTATATTTAAAATTTTAAGGGATACGAGATAACTGTGACTTTAAAATAGTAAAACAGTTATAAGATAGTTGAAGGAAGATAACTTACGATACGCGGGCGGGACTTGAACCGGCAACTACAGCTTTCCGTATTAGCGTTCCCATTCAGTTGGTTTAGAGGTTGGTTGGTGAGCGGTAGCACGGAACGGTCGGACGCTGCCGGTTCAAAGTCTGCCCGTGTCGTAATTTTTTGCAATCTAAATAGTTTTCCATTTCTTTAACGCTATTACGTACGTATGTGAAAAATTTGACTGCTTACCGACTTTTAGGTATCGTGTTGACATTTTTTGTGCTCATGATTGTGAACAACGATAAAGTTGTAATAATTAAATATCAAGTATGTAATTAATATGCATTTATTTAATTATGTATATGTTGGTGAGAAGTGAAGTGTGTAATCAATTGAAAAAATACAGAGCCGGCCAGTGCTGGTAATGGAAGCTGTATGACGCTTTATTCGTCTATACTGGTTTGGTTATTCGAAGCTATACGCATCTAATATCCACATTCGGCCTGCACCAGATGCGTCCAAATCGTTTTTTACACATTCTCGCTTTTATAAATATTTATTCCTTGCGAAAATATTACGTCAGCTTAAGGGCGTGGGTAAAAACATTAAATACTTCAAGAGTTAATTATTAAAACCACAAACCATACATCAAAGTGACAATAATTTATGTGTCAACCTCGATAACATAACTAAAATGTTTATAAATATTTTATAAAAGTTGTTATATAATTGTTTTTGATTTGTTTTAGCTTTTAGATCATATATCAGGTTGTAATTTAGTATTTTGCCAAAATGGCAGGTGGGTTATAACGATATGTCGTTAGTTACTTAAATTTTTATTAATACGACATAGACAGACGTATAGTGTCTCTTTATTGTTACTTCTTTGCACTTAGCTTTATGTTTTATACGGTATATCGATGTATTCAGTTATCTTTCTTTAGCTTTATACATTACTTTGGCGTAGAATAGGTTATGTGCAAGTACCTACTAACTTCGTACAATATCTACCTACATATATAGATATATAAACAGGTGTATATTAATAACCCATTCTTGCAGATGAAACAGCTGTGCTGTTAAACATAAGCGAGATGATAGATCTGGCAATCGGAACACCGGAGGTAAGAATATGCTTCTTTTTATTTACTGAAATTTTCTTTCGTTGATCTCGCGGTTAGTAGAACTTGAATGGAGATTACGATGAAAGAAAATTTGTAATTCAGTCCAAAATGGCTGACGTCATAACCTAATGCCTTGGAGAGCACTTAAATCCGTTTCCATTTTTTTTAATGATAGAGAACAGACAGGCACGGTGTTTACTTGATGGTAGGTGATATACGCCAGTCTATAGCATCTTAAACAAGATGATCAGATCAGACAAGCGCTGACGACCCATTTTGGCTTTGGATATTCGGAAATCCACTGACTGAAACCGAGACGCGATTAAGCTTCACGGCTTTTTCGTCTGTGGACGCTGGTTCGCGGGCCGGACGGAATTTCTATATTCCTTCCAGACTACCCATTTTATATCCCGATTTCCAGACGAAGGTCAACATGTTTCAGAAAAATTATAAATTGAAAAAATTTAAACATGTTGGCGCGGTGGGGATTGAACCCCCGTTCTGTTGATTATCAACGTCAAAAACTCTTGTTAAACAGAAGTTAATGTTAATCAACCTGCTATGAAGAAGCGTGGCCAGTCTAAGACTTACTCTCTCTTCGAGGTTAGACGAGACCTTAGAGATACGAACACATACACTTACATTTTTTAGTGGAAACTAATATTTATAGACTTTTATAGATTGTCATTTTTTTGTAGGTTGGCGTGGTCGACTTCTGTATGCTCCAGACGGTATTGCATTGTCTTGCGCAACAGCTACGCGTTCTTGGCAAGAATGTGGAACTTCGGGGCAGTGTCGCGGCACTGCCCCTGGGCAGAGAGAACTCGCAGACCATAGCAGTCAGCGAGTTTGTTGTGGACACAGATCAGGTGTGAATACTAAAATAATATTTTTAAGAAAACTCTCTTTCCCTTAGTCTTCAAACAGTATAAGGCCAAAAATGTATATTAAAACATTAATTGACTAATTTTTCATTCTAATAACTATTTATTATTATCAATTAGATTTTTTTATCTGTAGTTTACGCGAATAGTACTTATTTGAAATAAAACATGTTAACTAATATATTTCAGGTTTTAACCCGTTACAATTGTTTTATTTAAATAATGTCAATGATTCCTGTTCCGTAAAGTGTATTTTTTCCCAGTCGTTTGTCCGATTATTTAACTATAATATACATTTGTAATTCTTATTAAACGCTTTACAATTTTTTCATTTTCTAAATAATAACATTCAACCTCAAGCCTTAATTCAACTCCGGAGAACTTATAATAGCCCTACCCTACTCTTGCTTTGTGACATTGTTATACTGCTTACCTTGAAAGAATATAAAATTATAAATAGTCAGCACTTACACACGGTATCTCCTGTGTAACAACGAATTTTCTCTGCTTTCAGGCAACACAAGCGAAAACTGTCAAATCTGAACTAGGTATGTCACATTTAAGTAACTAATAAATGTTTTACTGCAAATATAATCCAAAAAGTTGTATACCATATTGTGCCTTAATAAGCAAAAATTAGTACTTAGTGAGACACAATACGAACTGAGTATAATTTGTTTTAGTGCCACCGCCCTCTGCTACTGAACAGGAGACAATTTTAGTAGGTAAGTTTTAAAAAATATTTTTATTTTACGTAATGTCCAATAACTATTTAATATAACCTTAAAATAATAATTTAATTTTAATACTTTTACGAAATATAATATTAGCACTTTCTTTTTGCAGTGGAACGGATAAAGAAGGTCGATTCGCCAGGTAATCATTCATACATTCGTTATTTTTATAGGAGAATTTATGTGATGTGAAAAATCGCACTTTACTTTATTTAATAGCATCACCCTTTGTACACGCATTGATGACGTCATATTTAATAACTATATTATTTCGTTTGCTGTGTTAGAATAATTGAAGCTTAACTGCAGTCGAGACTCGAGACTATTATATTATTTATTAATAGGTAAAGCTATTTTAAACAGATTTAAACGCGGAGCCGCTTTAGTCGCGGGAACTAAACTGGTAGAAACGTAGAGCAACAGCACGGAAAGCTGACGATGCCGGTTCAAGTCCTGCCCGAGTCGATTTTTTTTTTTTCAATTTATTTTCGATTTTTAAATTATGGTAGAAACGTAGCATTTTAACCTATTTGCAGGCATTATTTTATTTATACTTGGTACCTAGTATAAACGCCTTTTGAATTAATAACTAAAGCTAATCTATTGAACCATTTAATATTGGTATTGGAAGTAAGACTTGTGTTGTAACGCGTTACTTAATAAAGTGTCGTACTCTCCACTAAATAGTTGACTTGTTCTAGGATTTTTGGTTCTTAAAATCTTGTTAACATTACAATTCTTTACGATTGGTGTGTCGTCCGTCGTACAAGAATCAGAATAATGACGGTTATACTTGATCGATGTATTTTATTCGTGTAGTCAATCGAAGTCCCCCACGCTCCCATTCGCCTCCACCAAACGCCCCATCACCAGCACCTAGATTGACATCTACTGAAAAACTATCTCTCGTGACCATAAGCAAATTCAACCTTTTGGAGAACACAGTGGAGGATCTTAAGAGTCGCGTCTACGGTAGTATGCCGAAGAATGAGGAGATTTTAGAAGAAGTACGGTAAGCAAATTAATGCTATGCCAATCATATTATTAGCCCACTACGTCGTCCACGTCTCGTTGTTCTTGCGAGTTAGTCTTAAAAAACTAAATATACTACTGTCGGGGACATAATACTTAGATCATTTAAAGGGGGATTATTCTTTTATACATATTTATTGGGTATCGCGGCCTATTTTCGCAGTGAACGCAGCGAACCCTCAAAATGTTTCTCCCTTTGTTTCTTCACTCCTATTGATCGCAACTAATATAGCCTAAAGCTTTTTCGATAAATTTACCAATCAACACAAAAGGAATTTTTAAATTCGAACCATTTCCTGAGATTAGCGCGTTCAAACAAACAAATAAACAAACTCTTCAGCTTTATATTATATTAGTATAGATGTACATTAAAATAAAAATGGTTGGTGCTAACCCAACATAACTCTATATAATGTTTTTCAATATTTTCTTAGATCGCAAACAAATCTCAAAGCTATCACCGACATGTGGACGTCGTTGAATGTTTCATCTCGTCTTGAAGCCGCTGAGGCAGGCATATCGAAGCTTAGCTCGCTGGTCCAAGACATCATATCAGATACGGCTGGTCTACAAGAGGCTATTGCTGCTAGAAGAGCTTCAAAAGTGTACGTTATTTATATTATAATCCTATAATTTACGTAACATAAGACTAGTACTAGACTACTAATAGAAGAGAAGTATGTGTGATTTTTTTTTAAGTCGACAGCGCATGTCAAGAAGATCATAACTCCAAGCTCTCACTTAGCTGATGTTTAATAGCTGGGATATTTCAAGTTCCATCAAGGGAATCTTTTTTGTATGTCTTTTTTGTGTGTATTACATAAAATCTATTGTCAAACCCGTTATTAAGAATTGATTTCTATGAAGTTTTGTCCTACCCAAATAATAAAATGATATACATTTCAGCGAACCGCAAATTCAAACAATAGTAGCGCCAGCACCCGTAGATAATGTCGCGTCCAAAGACGACTTGGCGTCTCTGCAGCAACGCCTCTCCAAGTTACGAAACGATCTCGACAACCTGACGAACTCGTTTAACACAGCTATGGCAGATATACAAGCTGGATTGGGTAATTATCTTAGTCCTTTTCGAAGTTTTAGTAACATATTGTCTTAATATAGGATTAGTAGTAAAAGAAAAAATACGTGAAGTCTAAAAATCGAAAATAAATTTAAAAAATGTTCGACTCGGGAAGTTACGTGCTGTTGCTCTACCAATTGACCTACCGAGTCCTACACCTCATCGTCGAATTTTTTCAACTTATTGATACATGCACCTCTCGCGCAAGGTAATTTCAACCTTAACACTTGCGTATTAAGCGGTAGCTCAGTTGGTAGAGCAACAGCACGGAACGCTGGCGATGCCGGTTCAAGTCCTGTCGGAGTCGAAAATTTTTTCAATTTATTTTCGATTTTTAAACTATATAGTGCCTTCATGTGCACTAACATGTAAAAAATAATAAAGCTTTCAAACACGTAAAGTCCCTACCTATTAGTCTATAATTTAGATAACTTTTTATTACACAGCAGAACACAAACACTAATAAACAATACTCAAAACATATATCGCTATTATAAAATATAAAATCTTATTTTGGGGTAAGACACCACAACGCACTACGCAGTGCATTCACTGCAACTATTTTATTACTCAAATGATTTCATTAAAATACTTGGACTTTAATAATAGAACACTTTTTTGTAATTATTGTAGAAATATATAGGTTTTTATGATTACCAGAGATGCAAGCCAATCAACCTCCGCCACCACCGCCGCCACCTGCACCAGCGCCAACCGTTCCAGAAGCAGTACCGCCGCCACCACCTCCTCCTGCCCCTCCCGGTAATCTAATTCATTAAAAATTGCTATAATAAAAATAAGAGTATTGGAGTATACCTACAAAAGCTTTTCGAAGCCAGTGTCTTAAAATGTGATTGTAGGTCTCTAGATTGATCGAAAATTGTATATCATTTCTCACAGACGCCTAACAGCCCGAGAAACAACAAAACTTTGCTCCCGATATATTTGCTTGCGACGCAGTATAGTAGTAGTATCTAACGTTATGTATGTAATCTAAATTGTAGTTAAATAAAACACTTAAAAGTGTATCTTATATTTAAATAATATATTTCGCATTTAAACTTTTTATTCCATGTGAACTACAGAGTCCAGGCGGCCAACGGAACCCCCGCGTCAATCGTTCTCGCAAATGACAGCAGGTTTGATGGAGAGGCTCAACGATCTAGAAAAGCGACTTAAAGAGTGTTGTGATAAACTTGGCAAGAAGGATGGCGCTATTCAAGACCAGGTGCCTATACCAATTCAACGAACAGTATATTAATAAAGATACTTTCATATGCACAATGCACAAGATTGCTTACGCGAGTTAATAGGTTTTAGTGAGGAAAAAATCGACGGGATTGGTTGGTGCACTGGTAGCAATGTACTATTAATAGTCGACGGGTCGTGGGTTCCAACCCCCTACGAGTCTAAAATGTTTCTAATCAATTCATAATTCTTCTGAAACACTCATGCGAAATATTCGCTTTCAGTCTATGTATATCCGAATATTCATAATAGATCGACAACACATCTTGTTTAGATGTTATATGACTGGAGTAATTCACTTTACATTTAGTGAACCACATGCTTATCTGTCCCCCTCCATCATAAAAAACGAAGGCAAAATCTAAAAGAATTTGCAATTTTTATTAATAAAAACGCTCACATGATAGTTGATCAAACTAAGTAACTTTTTCTATTACAGCTTAATTCCTTCCAAGATCAGATTGAATACCTTTCCAAACAACTAGCTGGGTTGGCTCAGAAACAGGGCGATAATACGTTGTCTCCTGATATGTTCAAGGATATTCAAGGTATACAAACACAATGCCCAAGAACTAATAATTAGAAAATAATTAAAAAAAACTAAACTTAAATATTCAAAACTCTATAATGAACCATGAAATTACCTTTACCAGGTCTTATGTCTCTCTTCCAAACGGTACAAGATATGCAGGAACAGCTGAAACAAGTTCACGAAACAGCTTTACAACTGGCATCCGAGAAAGAGGATAGGCTTCACAATATGAACGTAAAGTATAAGACCAAAAAAACGAATTTTTAAAAAGATCCACACGTAGTCAATCTTATCTACTTGTACCAATATTTCGCTATTCATAAATTATAGAAAAAATGCTAAGATGCTCTTAAAATAAGAGCGTTAAAAGAGCAACATCTACATTATAATATGTATAAGATGTAGATTCAATAACGTTACAGGCTCTTTTGGAACAAATAGAGCTACTGAAAACGATAAAACTGGATCGAGAAGATATGGTGGAGGCAATGGCTGACAAGGCAGACATGCGTATGCTTGCACGCAAAGTGTCGCACGACCAGTTCGAAATGGCCTGTGACGACTTATCTCGTGGTCTGGAACATGCTCTTGGGAAACTGAATTTGCAGGTACTCGTTTATTGCACGACGAGATTTTGTTTCAGATTTGGCGCCTAACTAACTTTATTACTATCTAATTCTTTCTGAAAACAATGAATCTGTTTGTTCATTAACAAGGAATCCTTATGGCAACAAGCTCTTGATGATATACAACGGGAAATCGAGATGAAGCTCGACAAAATGGAGTTATCGCCGGTTAAGGAATTCTTTAACAACAAATTGAAACAGCTTCAAGAGAACCTTAAACAAATGGCCGCGTTGAGGAAGGAAGCTGAGGCTGCTGGTACTAAGAGGAAATTATTAAGGTAGGTATACACAACCTGTGTATAAAGCTATATTTGCGCATTTAATTTTATGTTTTACATTCTACGAAGATAGAAATATGAAATATTTTCAATAGAACTTCATGCATATTTGTTTCAATTTTAATAATGTCCCACGCTGAACACAGGTGTACTATATCATAAAGACTAGACCCATCCTCCATATCCGGTTAGATGGATTTATCAACTACCGTCGCTTTAATGTGGACATAATTTGGGAACTGATGGCTTTATGAGCTCTTCAAAGCAGATCAGGAGATATGACCTAGATCCAACTTTTGAAAAAAAAGCGCTAAACTAAACGTATATATCATCGATTCTGTCGTAAGCTATAACTAGATTAGCAAATCAGTAGTATAATGGATAAACTAAAAAATATTTCACAAACGATTACCATATTATAAGCTGACAAACTTATAATTCAATATTAGATGAAGTGTGGGTGCGAATGTGCAACCTAGCATCAATATGCGAGTGTGAATTTGACGGTGCTATTGCAGGGACGTAAATTGCATTTCATGCGATGCACGAGCTGTAATGCCGATGGAAGCCGAATCGAATATACCGGTTAGCCGACCGATGCCGGCGAATCTCTCTATGAAACCGTATTTGAGTTATGAATTGGGTACGAAAAGACTTTATTTTCAAACAACTGTACGTTTATACACTTGCATAAAACAACTTACAGCAAGTATTAACCATTACTTTTTTATTTCTTAATTGACTGAAAAAAATAGGTTCTAAATGCAAAGCGTATGTACTTGTATATATGCTTGTTATATTTGTTCGCTCGATTTTTTTATTTTTATAATTAATTGTAATTGCCTTAACAAATTTCATACTATTGTGTGTACTCACAAAGTTATAACATAGAAATATTTATGTAGGAGGTAGGTATTACTTTGTGCGAAGTATTTTTTTACTTAACTGTTGAAACTCGCTTATTTTTGTTAAAAAATATGGATGATATCACTACATAAGAGAATCATACAATCACGTTTAACTTCATAAAACATTAACTATGTTTGACCTCTCACCTCAGGCTCTATAGTCTCCCATTGTAAACAGATAATTAGTGTTTCATTTTGCCATTAATGATAAATTCTACTATAAATAGATGCTATACGCAAAACTCAAGCGACGAATCTGCCCCAACGCAATATGCGAGATTGGGAGAACATTGAAAAACAAATGGCTCAACCAAAACCACCACCGAAACCCAAGTACCAGCTTTCTATTGTAATATTGGAAAAGTAGAAATATTGCTAAATACTGTCTGTAGTTCACGCGAGTATTACACACTTGTCTGTAGTTTACGCGAGTATTACACACTGTCTATAGTTTACGCGAGTAGTACACATTTAAATCGCGTTTTAAACCGTTAAAGTGTTTTATTGAAATATTGCTGTTCTCTTTATTGATACGAGACCACTCGATTATTCGACTCACTCTTGGCCAAATGAGTTTTTAGAGACAACTGAGCTAGTAGTAGTAGGAGCTAAGTAACCGTACTTGGCATTTGTGTGACACATAAAACCTCGCTCGGAGTTTACCGCAATTTCTGTAGTAATTGACGAATATAGTCGCGTTTAAAACCGTTAACATTTGATTTAATTAACACGTTGACTATACCATCCTTGTCAGGTCGGAGACAGACAAACATCTCTGTAATCGTTATTGTGGTGGTTCCCACACGACTACAACGGCCGCGCAGCGCGTCGCTCGTCTCGGACACTTCATGAAGCAGTGGGGTCCGGACGTAGTGCCCCTTTCATCTGGTCTGGCTGCTGGAGATGATGGAAGGGTATACAAAAGGATTTATTGTATTTCCAGTCAGGACGACGAAGTAAAATATCTTGTAATATGCAATCTATATTAAAAGGTTAAAATCGTCCGATTTTCACACACATACGCAATAATATAATTGTATGTATGTTAACTCCTACATTACCACCACACTTAAATCACAAAGATTAAATCGATGCCCCGCCATGACCACGGCCGCTCCTAAGCAGACGGAACTTCGGGTCGTAGTTTAAATAAAAAAATCAAGTTAACTAATATATTTCGCGTTTTAAACCGTTATAGCTGTTTAAATTATCGATATTCATACTTGCTATTTATCTCTAAAAACTTTTATAATACCTACTAACATTTTTACAGATGTACAAAGTGACTACAACTGAAGGAGCAAACGTTGGACCAGGTAATTTTATTCATACCACCCTATAAAAATGATTTTAAAATGTCCAATGTATTATTTAAAGAAAATGATTCAGTTGGTTAATGGTTAAAAGGTTGCCATATACATCAAATATCACTTACCTTTTTTAATTTAGAAATCCATAGACAAAAGAAGGTTTAAAACTGATGATATTTTTTTGTATTTATTTAATAGATATTGAGTTGATAGCAATTAGATACTGTCCCGGAAAGCAAACGCACGAACCTTTTTGTTTTTTGAAAGTTGTGTTATCAAAATGGCTACCATCATTTATTCAGGGGGAGCGGTGGATGCTACTTGTACTTCAAGATTTAGAAAGGAACAGCCTACACCTAAAACTCCTCAAAAGCAAGCAGTGCCAACACCGGTGAGTTTCTTTTAATTTCCCCCGTGTTTTCCACATTTTCCTCTGTTGTCTCGCTCCTATTGGTCGCATCTTAATGTTGTTTAGCCTAGAGCCTTCCAAACAAACTCTTCAGCTCTATAATATAAGTATAGATTTAGATAATCTTCATTGCATTTTTTTACAATAAATTCAATAACAATTAAATGTAGCTGTAGACAATGTTTACCTAAAAAATTGCAAACGACAGGATAATTATAAGAAATAACTGTGCATGTGGAAAGGGATTGAAACGTCATGGCACACAGATGGGACATGCTGCCTTAATTGGTAGAGCATGGTCCGCTGTTGGTCGTGAGTTCTCATCCCATAGGGATATTTTGAATCATATAATGTTTGAAAACATTAATATTTTTCACATGTTATTGCACATGAAGGCACTATATAATTTAAAAATCTAAACGACGATGTTGCTCTACGAATTGAGCTACCGAGTCCTACACCTCATCGTCGAATTTTTTCAACTTAATGATACATGCACCTCTCGCGCAATGTAATTTTAACGTTAACACTAGCGTATTAAGGTTCAATGTCTTATGCTTTGCAGCTTAAGAAATCATTGAAGTGTAGGACTCGGTAGCTCAATTAGTAGAGCAACAGCACGGAAAGCTGACGATGCCGGTTCGAGTCCTGCCCCCCCCTATATTTTTCAATTTATTTCGATTTTTAAATCATATAATGTTACTAAATAAGTTTATTGCTTGCAGGAATGTCGCTGTTTGGAAGGAGGTAAGATAACAATCGTTTTATGAGCCAAATACATTTTGTAAATCTACTAAAATTGCATTGAGTCACATAGACAATCTTAAAATTTAAAATGTTTTTAAGACATCACCTCCACCTCCTGCGCAATGCTAAAATGATCAAATATTTAAATAAAACACTTTAACGGATTAAAACGCTATATATATTAGTTAAACTTGTTTGAAAATTATTTTAACTGGTTATTTGCAGCATCCGAAACGTCAGGCCGTAGCTTAAATAGTTTTCAAACAAGTTTAACATATATATTGCGTTTTAAACTGTGAGTGTTTTATTTAAATGTGTACTGCTCACGCAATTGCCGAAATTACAAATAACAATGAATGTGTATAATAATTTACAGATCGTTCAGTAAAAGGCTGAAGACAGGACGTTATCAACTTACCTGTTATCTGATACATCTATACTATGAAAATAAAAGCCAAAATACTGGGCCATATCGCGTTTTATTGGTAAATCAATTGCCATACAATACAATTATACTATTTACTTCAATTAGTAGAACGGTGATATTAATCACGTTTTATTGTACACGTAGAAAGATCTACAAATTTAGTTAAAAGATCATTAATAATGTTATATTATTCGTTTTAGCCATTCCAGTATATTATCAGGAATTTAGGGGGGGGGGGCGGAGTGTTTAGAAGGGGTGGGGAGTGTGGGTGTTACGTTTGATTTGAATACTCAGCTGCTTTACTTATGGGGTACCTTAACACCCCATTTCACTATCCAACTCTTACAATACCTACTTCCCCGCGAAAAAAGAATCTTACAATCGTAAATCAGAACATCAAAATCCTAATAAAACGTGATTAATTAAAATGATGTTTCTGCCACTAAAACAAGATATACAGGCGATTTTTTTATATCCATTGTTTTCAATGCAAAACATACTGAAAATGCCCATATATTTTATTAATTAATTATAAAGGAAACATATTTACAAAAAACTTATAACCCAAAAGGTTTCAGAAGTTAACGAAGTAACTGTGTGAAGGATGGAATAACAGCTAACCTGCAAAATTTGAATTTCTTAACAGTACCAAGTCACTTCTTAAATTATTACTTACATTCTATTAGAAAACTTCTATTTTTATAATTACGAAGCATTGAAAGACTGGAATCCCGTAAATCTGATATAATCAAATAATTTTATCATATGTATTTTGTCAAAATCTACCTACTGCACTACATCTATTTATTACATTAGAATAATCTTGTGTTATTGACAACACCAATTCAATACTGCACAGTATCTCTTCAGAAGCTCTTCTTTGTGAGCGGCCATTGGCGTATGAATTATAATTTGAGAATAAAACCAATTTCAACGAGTTCAAACGACATTGCTTAACTAAAAAATCGCGCTTCAACTAGTTCAAATTGGTTTATTCTATGTGTTTAGCTTACTATATTTCTCTTAAATGCTTCCATCGCTGCCGCACCGGCGCCGGCGCCAATCGTCCGCGAAACCTTCGCCGGCAAAGACGAGGTCATTTGCTCAGCGTACCGCTCACTCGGGTGAGCTTCCGTCCAGCCCTTCAAGCTCCTACCCACATTGCGGGGCACCATTGGTCTACCCGCAAAACATACGCTTAGTATTAACGGCCCGGGACACAATACGTCATAATTGGTCTTGCAACGAATAGTTTATTCGATAGTATACCAAATACTAAATAACTAAGTATTCGGTTATTCGGTCAGATAGCATAAAAGACGCCGAATAGACCGAATGCCGAATAGACCGAATAGTAACCGAATATTCGGTTACTATTCGGTATTCGGCAAGTTAATGATTTTTTCATTTTAAAAAAGCTTCCATTGAATTTCAAGTATTGCTCAAAGTTTATAAAGCTCGTAGACCAACGGCCGCGTACAAAATTTTTACAGTTCTGATAGGCTACCTAACAAATGTCGTGTTATTATTATCTACTTTATTTTTACAACTGTTAACGGTGTCGTCCCCGCGCCCCGTAATGGTTGCCTTCGCGGCTGTGCCGGCGCGACTTATCTCGACTGCTGCGAGACCTGTCTCTCCTCTCACGGTCGCGGGACCATTCTTTATCACGGGAACTTCTGGAAAAAACAGAGAACCTTATAACGACGGCGAAGGAAGATATGACATAACTTGGCAAAAGATCACGACAAATATGGCCGATTTTAAACCATAGAGAACTAGTGATGTCCTTTTATAGGGTGTAGTCGTTGCCACAGATAACACAGAGTTAAAGAAATATCCATTATATATGGACTAAACGACCTCAATATGCAAAATCACTTTTATGGCGAGCTATTTTTTATGTCATTATTATTTGACACGACGTTTGTACCGCCTTTCAGCGATCGTACATGGGTGAGACTTCTACTATAGTCGTTGACCTTGCCTACATCCCATCCTTATAAATGTCAAACTAACGATATTTTATTCATATAAGTTTTTAGATCATCAAGAAAAAATATTTATGACTAGCTCAACTGGCAAACGTTCTTTAGCCACATGAAGTTTTGCAACTAATTGATACTGAACTGATTGGTATACCATAAAAACGATTCTTTCAATTTAATCCTGAAACACTAGATATTCTTGCAGTATTCTAATTAGTCGCAGTCGCAATTAAAATCTTCCTCGATAAATGTAAAACACAAACATTTGCTATAATTAACCACTGTGACACAATCTCTATCAATCACCTGTTGAAAAAAGGTGGAGGTTATAATCAAGTGTTATGTAAATATAGACATAGCCTACCTAGTTTCACCAGCAGAACGGCTGTCCCTTGAGTGGCGTCGAGCTGGTTCCCCGGCGGAGCGCGAGCAGGGTGATCGAGAGCGAGTTCCCGACTTTCGACTCTTCGGCGACTGGTTTGGAGATTCCCGTTCATTGTTTAAGTTAAAATCGTCGAACCTGCCAAATAGTTATATTGCATATTATGAAAAAAAAACACAGCCAAAATAAAGGTTCTACAATAGTTGCAACTTAAGTGCAATATCAAATTTTTGGGAAAATTGTTTATAAAGTACATATTAACTTACGCACTTCTAACGGTTTAAAACGCAAAATATTAAATTTATTCGTCGTTTCGAATGCGTTGCACCAGCCGTGGTTATACGCCATACCTATATGAAAAGAAATTTAACGAATAGATTTCGCGTTTTAAACTGTAAAGGGTTTTATTTAACCTAGAATATTTTTACAAAACAAAACTAATACATGACATGATGGTGAATGTCAAAGAAATTAATGAATTAAAAAAAATCTAAGACCTTTATGTATTTAACGATTTAAAGCGTGGCAAAGCATCGCAATATTGGGACGGGAAGTCCAAGAACATGCTAATTCCGGCAAAAACAGTTTCGCAGACATTAAAGTCTGATTAACTCGAATCCCTTACTCAGCATGTACATAAGCCGATCGGTGTAATAACCACAAGTATGGTTCTATTTCCTCACAAGGGACACAATATTACAATTATGTATGTAGCCAATAAAATTAAAATTATACTACTCACTTGTTTTTTGGAGTTTCCACATTAGAGCTGTGACTAGAACTTGAACTCGAAGAGGAACTTGAAGATGAAGATGAGCTCCGGGATCTACACCTAGACAAACATATTAATAAATGGTCAAAGAGGAGTTAATTAAATTAATAGAGTTAATAAAAATTGATAAATTTAATACACCTCGTACCTTTTTCTTTTCCTTTCTGCTGAGACATTTCTCTCTTCAACGGCTGAGACTTCTTTCTCTGGTTTTTCGCTTTCATTCTTATTGTTCATACTTTCTTTAAAGGACAAATCATTTACATTTTAATAAGTGTAGTATTTAACAAAGAAACAAATATAATCTAATTTAAAAATCGAAAATAAATTGAAAAAATTTTCGACTCGGGCAGGACTTTTTTCAATTTATTTTCGATTTTAAAATTATATAGTGCCTTCATGTGCAATAACATGTGAAAAATATTTATGTTTTCAAAAATATAATCTATTTTGCTTTTGAGTCTTAATTCTCACATTATTACATAACAAAATAATACCTGTTTTAGCATTATTTTTGTCATCATCACTACCCCACAGATCATACTTTGACAAGTCTCCTTCTTCACCAGATTCTTCTTCATCATCTTCTTCAGCAGCCTCCTCTCCTTCTTTCGAAGCGGATGTTGTTGCCTTAAACAATACATTTTCAATCTTATTCATTGACCATTAAACAGGTAAATTGGTAATAATTATGTGCACAAATCAAAAAATTACAATACAATACCTTGGCTCTTTGTTTGGGTCTTTTCCCCTCGCCCACTTTCTTTTTTCTTTCTGGTGGCTTAACAGCCAATTTTAGCCTATTTAAGATTAATGGTTTTGGAAGTGCAAAGCTTTTGAAGTTGCCTATCACAGTTGCATTTTCATTTAAGGACGATCCTGTATTCTTATGTTCTTCGATACATGGAATGGTATGGTGAAAATTCACAGGTGCAGGATCAGGGTCGAAAATGTCACTTATGAACGGCGTGTCTCCCGTATTTCCGTCTAATCTTCGCAATTCTTTTTCTATATTTTCATGTTGGACGGACTCTAATTCCCATTCGTCATTTGTTAAATTTATGATTTCTTTATTATCTTGTTCTTTTGCATTTTCTGTTGGTTCAGTTGTGTTTTTTAAATCTGTTTGTGATTTATTTGGAGGTTGCGATAGGTGTTGCAAATTTTGTAAGGCCATTAGGAGTGTATCTGTGTTAATATTTGACAATATGTTAGATAAATCTATTTGAGGATTTTCTAATGACATATTATTGTGAGGCAGTTGATTTTCTATCTGTGATTTATCCGGGATACTTTCTTGTCTAGTTTGAGGAATTAAACAATCTTGTTGACCGGTTATATTAGGGGAAACAGCATTATCTTTCGGTTTGATCGTGATTGATTCCAAGACTTGTATTCTTTTTGAATGGCTAATATTACTGTTGGCAGTTTTATCAGGGCCTGTCGTTTCCTTTGAAATTGCTAAAATTTCGCTCGAAACATCTCCAGGCATCTGTCCAGGCAATGGTATATCTAAAAGATTTAAATAAGACGTTTTACCATTATTTTGGTTTAATTCAAAATTTTCAGATTTTTTATTATGATCAGTAGAACTTGTACTGTCACTGCCTTGCAAAGTATTGAGTAAATCCAACATTTCATTACGCTTTTTTTCTATAATGGTTTCTTTTAAGATGTCTGTTGTGTCATGCAATATACTTGGTAATTGAGTTTGGAGATTTGATTTCGTGTTCTTCTCTTTATTTAAATTAATTTCCGTTTCGCTATCTTTATACAGTTCATCATCTTCATCGTTCCAAGTGCTGTCAAAAATCTTGTTAATTTGGTCATTTTTGTCAAAATCGGAATGTTTTTCTGAACTTTCGTCTCTTAATTCAGGGTCAAATATCTCCATTATATTTTTACTCTTATTTATGGTATCCGACTGTACAATGTCAAATACACGGGAATTGCAATCAGAAATATTTGGTGTAGGCATAGATTCAGACACTTCATTAAATGAGACATAATTGTCTGGACAAACAGAGCTATTAATTTCATCTTTAGTAAAATCTATACATATTATATCATGCTTAGGTGGAGGCAAATTTAAAGTTGATTCATATATTTTTGATGGCGCTTTAAGTGGATCATATTTATTGGTATTTGACTTTGCTGGTGATACTTTATAATTCAAAAAAGGAGGATTAGACAATGTGCTTGTCTCTAAGTAGATAGGCGAAATATTCACTTTGGGTAGCTGAGAAGAATTATTTATGACAGGGCTACATTCAACACCAAGTTCTCGTTTTGTAACAGGTGCATTTTTGTTTAATGAAGTACCATCAGCCTTAGCCCAATAACCTTTTTTCTTTACATTATTTTTAAAGTCTTGATAATGTTTTTTAGCAGTTGCTGCCATTATTGTGGGAACATATTCTGAAGATGACCCCTCTACTTCACAAGTGCTTCCTTGGTTTTTAATATTCATATGGCGAGAACTAGGCATATAAATATTACCAGTGATTAATGGGGATTTCTCAATTTGCTTTTGTGTTGTGTAGCCCTGAAAAGTAGGGTTGCCATCAGGTACATCATGGTTACTCTTAATATTTATTGATTTTCTGGATTTTTTCTGTGAATTTTTGTCAGCAAAAATCCTTGACCTAAAATCAACTTCTTCACTATGATATGACACTGAATCAGAATCACTATTACTGGAAGTTTGGTGAGACATTTTAGGAGCGATGGTTCTTTTAACAATATTTTGTTTGGATTTGAAACATTCAACATTAGAACCAGAATAATTGGTATCTCTTGAGCTTGACCTACTTCTGTTAGGTGTTGATGAAGCTTGACTGTGTGTCAATTCTGGTTCATTGCTATGTTCAACTTTGTTCTCATCATCAATTTTTCCAATTAACAATGTTTCAGCACTATTGCACCTCTGGAGAAATTTGTGATATGTGTCATTGTTTGGAGTGGATTCAGGCTCACTATCTGAATTAATATGTATTTCTTCAGGATTGGGAAGTTTTACAGAACCCTTTTTGGGCCTAACATTTGTTATTTTACTGTTTTGGTGTTTCAAAGTAAGATCTAGTTGTCTCTCTACATGATTGTCAACTAAGCAACCTGTAGTTAATAGTTTTCGCCTCCATGCATAAATCGTTTTAAAATCAGGAGCAGGTTTGTCATAAAAGTTCTCAAATTTGGATGTACTAATTCTACAATTATTGTACACAATAGCATAAGCCGCTGCCTTTACTCTTTCTTCTATGGTATATGTGACTTCAAAAACTTCAGAAGGAGAGGGTCCAGTAAATTTATACACTACGTCATTATTAGTAGAGGATACTTGATTTTCCATTACAGGATTACTTTTGACATTGCTTCCATCATGGCTGGATCCTGAATAATCACGATCGCTAACACTTGAATAACGTTTACGTTTAAATTGACTAGGTCTTGGTACTAGTTTTAAACAGTTAGGTTGAAAGCGTCCCTTTTTTTGAGAAGCTAAAGTCTTAGAAGCGTCACAGAAATTCTTTAGAGGGTCAGATATGGAACTATCACTGGTAATGCAGCTTATGAGTTCATTGCCTCGTTTTTTCTTCTCTAATTTAACTGGTGCCATCTGCATTGTCGGCGAAAGAGTTCTCATAGGTGCTTCAATGATTACTTGATGACTGCCAACCTGAAGGCAGGAAAAATTATCTCCACTTTAGTAATTGTGTGCTTCAAAACTTATGTCATAATCCTAGTCTATTCTATCAATTCTTCTTAGCTTCAAATATCCTTATCTGTAGCAAAAGGTACTCAACTGTGTTGCAAAGGAAACTGCTAAGTCACACAGACTGTTGTTAATAAATTAATATTCTAAAAAATACTATTTAATTATATACGTTAATAATGAAATGCCTACCGTTTCGGAAGCCCTGCGTTTTCTTTTCTTTCTTCCAAATTCATCATATTCATCATCAGACGAAGAATCTCTTTTACGATATTCGACGACTCCCCGTTCATTGTATCCACCGCCATAGCCCGTTCGCGCTTCGACCTATAATAAGTTTTTAATAGTTGCTGTTATTCCCAATATAACTTTTCAATATACTAAAGTCAATAAAAATACGTACTTCTCCAAATTTTGGTGCATTACAAACGTTGCATGTAGTCCGCCGGGCCCAGTTGACATTTGCACACTTATTGCACTGCCAATCGTCGGCGTTGAATAAGCCGCGAGATTTTTCAGCTGCAGATTTTCCTATCTCTGTTCCTAATTTCTTTTTAAAAGATTGGCCACCATTTGGACGTTCCTTATTGCAGCGATAGCACGACTTTCTTCTTGAAAAGTTGATGTTGCCACAATTAGGATCGGTGCAAATCCAATCCCCGTCATTCATTTTCTATGTTATAGCGGATTTCTTTCATTAACATTAGTTTTTCATTTCTAAGCGTTCTTTGGGTCTTATTAAATGATCACTGATGATGATGAAAAAGTCTACATTCTAGATAACGAACACTATATTTCTAATAATCTCTGTTGAATTTCAGAAGCCTTCACTTACAAATAGTACTTTTATGAATTCGTGATTCTGTTCGGTACACAATACAATTCACAAGCAAGCTTCACAATTTATGGCCACAGATTTTACTTAATATATTCAAGTATGTACAAGATAGCCTGTGAAATAGATGGATATAATCTATCAATAAAAGACTACCTTGTCTATGACAGTTATTATTTTCAGACTTGGCTTAAAAGTCTCGTTACCAGGCCATAAAACATAAAAACTTTTCAGACTTTATTTGGAAGTTTCTTAAATGCTGCACGACATACTACATCTGTGATATACAAAGTTAAAGATAACGATACACATTGAATTTTGACTATATTTAATAGTTCCATCCAAATACGATATAAACATTCTTTAAAATACCGTGATTTTTCTTAATACCATTTGTCAAATAATACAATAAATAAAAATAAACAATAATGATGTATACCCTGGTCATTCCTCTCATGGACACACGATATTAGCAGAATCCGTTTAAAATGGGAAAGCTATAAAAATTAAGAAGAAGAAGACTATTATTACTAAATATTGCTGACAGCTGACATTGCTGACATTATTTTTCGCAACTAGTGGTAATTTGGTAAACAAAAGTATTGAAAAATAATAACAGAATATTTGTATACACAAAATAAAAATTCCAGTTGAGAAGTGATAATGTCTGAAAACGTCGTTGTTGATCTCCCCGGAGAAATGATTTCTACAACAGAAAAGATAGGACTTCAAAAGTATGTGAATGATGTGGAAGTGTAAGTTTGTAATATGAATACTCACAAGCATTTAATACCACCGACAGGACAATAACATTTGTAATTCATACAATTATACATTTAACCCTTTTGCGAAGCTTTTTGTTACGGTATTTGAAAGGCATGTGATAAAGAATTATGGGGGCTTTACTGCGTTCTTTATTTTACTATTTCGAGGAAAAGATGAAAAAAAAAGATATACCACCTACATGTCTGACTATGTCTTCATCTGACTACGTGTAATAACATGTCACCTAATATTTTTATAACTTTATTTTAAAAATTCATCATTCATAGCTTGTGGGTTTGATACCTCTCCAGTATTTAATCTTATTATTAATAAACTTAATGCCATAGATTACTACAGAGTGCACAAGGTGCAGCTCCAGCGGTTGTCAAGGGTGTATTTTCCACTGGTAGGCCATGGACTCAATTTGTAGCTACTAAAAATTTTAAAGTAAGTTCTATTATATAAATAAAGTATCTAATATATTAAAAACTATAACAATACAAAAATTAAAATTTTGTCCATGTCCAAAGATCCAACATCTATTTAATCTTTCTTCTTTATGTTGAAAATTTTCATGTTTCAGGCTCCTACAGTCTTACCTGGATTAACACTTAGATTCTACAGGAATATTCAATATTTTAAATCTAACTACATCATGGTCTTCCTTGGTCTTTTTGCTTATTGTGTGTTAGTATTTTTTTCTGTATCTACTAAAAAGACCACTATTACAATTATTTTAAGTAGAATATAGAATAGATTTTGGTGTCGCAGGGCATTAATTCTTATCTACTTATTTCAGTTGCTAGAAGAAAGTGAAGGTTTTTAAACACACACATATATATATATATATAAATATAAGATACATTACATACAACTTTTTTAATTTTTTAGATTCATGTCACCGTTTCTGCTTATTACGATGATTGCAAGTTTCTATGGATATAAAAAGCTCACATCAGGGCCCAAAACTTGGAAAGTAAGTTGAATGTATTCTTTAAATGTGCATTATAATACTAGATTAATGGAAAATTCAATATTTTCTATCCTTCACTTTAATTTCTTTCATCCAAATGTAAGAAAGTGCACAAAAATGTGGTTAAGTATTTTAGCCTTTAAGTCAAATAAAATTGTATTCAAAATACTCACATTTTGGCTGTGTTTACCTATTACTATTATTATTATTTGTTACATATTATTAATTTAGAATAATAACAGGACATAATTACAGATCGGAAACTGGGAACTTACTAAGTCACAGCAGCATGTAATTGTAGCTGGATGTACTACTATTGTTTTGTGGTTCGCAGGCATTGGCGCCGCGTTCTTCTGGGTTTTGGGTAAGCATTAAGTAGTTTCCGACCCACACTTTGGCTTACAACAAACGCAGAAAATAAAAACAAAAGAAAATCTAAATTATATTTTGACATAAAATTTTATTGCATAAGACTATTTAAAAACGTTTTTCAACTTGGTAGAAGTACTGTTCTATGTCAAGTAACATTAAAACCTTTTTTTAGGTGCAACAGTAATAGTGGTTGGTCTTCATGCAAGCTTCTTTAATCCAGAAGCTTTAATGATTTCAAACGACCCAGAACAAGTCCCCATGATTGAACAAGTCTGACAAAGCGAGTTGCCTCTTTATTTGCCCACCAATAGACTTTCTCAACCTGAATAATTTTAAAGTTTGATATTATTCACTATAGTTGTTCTTGGTTGAATTTTGAAAATATGTAAAAAGTAATAATTTATACAACGTATTTATTTATACAATGTATTTATTTTTTCTAAGAAATCATAATAATAATTTGTATATTTATTGTAAATAGGTAATCATAAATATAACATATTGTATTGATGTATTTATTAAATAAATTAGCTTTTACTCATACATACTTTTTAAAACACAAAATTACTGTATATGGAAACAATGAGTATATAATTAAAATGCTATTTTTTCTAATCAGTTTTTTTATTTGAATCACACGAAATATTTAGACTTCAGTAACAATTATGTGCACATATTTTACATTTTGTCGTAAAAATTTATTATATTAGTAATAATACATTTTAAAGAGAAATTCCATAATCAAATCAAGCAAAATACACATAAGTTACATATCATATAAGCAGTCAATATTATCCGCCTGAGATAAATTTTCAATTGATATTCAGTCCATACAGATACACTTATGAAAATAATATTCTATTGACAAAAATAAATGCTTTAATTTAAAGTTAATAATGTGACTGTCAAATATAAAAATTTTGTCATTCATGTAAACATTTTAATCTATAACAAAATAGATAAGGTCATTTATATGTATTAAAAATGTAACATATACTTTACAATAAATTGAATGTTAAAATAATAAACCATAACACAATTATTGCCTGTGTAACAAAATAAATATTTCAGTTGCCTAAAAATGCCATGCAATACCTAAAGTAATAAGGACACTTAATTAATTTTCCAAATTGCATTACTATCTATTTGTCTGTGACAAAGATAAATATTTCTGCATATTAACAACTTAATAAAATATCAAAGGTTTGGAACAGTCTCAGTAGAAATATTTAAAAACAATTGTGGAAGACAATATACCACAAATTATTCAATCACAAGATATAAAATTGCTGTCAAATTTATGCAATTTACTGCAAATAACTTCTTGCAATTCTATCACACACTTAAAATAACGAGTTGTAAACATAAAAAATATATATTTGCCAAAAAATTGATTACTTGGCAAGTTCATTTACTTTTTGTCAAATACTACCTTAACAATAAATTACAAAGCAGTTCCATTATTAATTCTATTCAGTTCCATGTCGGCAACAAGTAAAATTTCATCCCACTTATGGGAAGGTGTATGTGGTGGGGTGGTGATTCCAAGTTTTTCAATGTTAGTTGTCGGTGTGGTGAATTCTAATTTCCTCTTAGATTTTCCCGCAAATACTTGACATGGACTTAGTTGTTGTGAACTGTTAAATGTTGTTATAGGAGTAATTGGGGTTAATGTAAACAGGTCTTTTCCTAACTTCTTCATCTTAATTCCCACATATCGAAACACTGGTTTCTTTAATATTGAATTGCCATATACCTTTTCTATGAGACCTATCGAAATAAGTACATTGGCAATATCATAAAGTCTTCTTACTTTTGATTTATGCTGACGATCCATTTGCTCTGGTGATAAGGCAGATTTGTTTTTAGTGTTAGTGTCAATAAGAACACTTACTGCCATTTCTAAATTAATCAGTCTGTTCTGAAAACATAATAAAGATTAAAAATATGTTAAATATCCATCAACTTAATTTTGAATACATATTACTTACAGGCGGCTCTACTAAGAAGAGCATAAGAAATCTTTGAGCTAAAACTCCAAGAGTCTTATGCTTAGGAGCTGCTGGCTTGGGTGCCTTCCCCCGTAGTACCTCAGACAGTCTTAAGTGTTCTCCTTGCTTTTTTAACATCTTCAAGAATGAATTTAACCTAGCTGCACCATGCCAAAGATATGTATTCTTCCTCTTGTGCACAGCACATTGCATTGCTTCCAATATATTAATAATGTCATACATTCGCCGTTTTTCCACCCCTAACCGTGCTGCGGTACCGTCTAATTGGAGTTCTACTGGACCATTTCCATAAAGCGGATAGAGATCTAAGAACCTGTAATAAATTAGGAAATTTTAATCAATATCTTCAGTTGTGTTTCATCTAATTTTAAGACGAGGTTGGAATTATCTATTACTTGTCACATAATATTTGAAGCGACTTTTCCTTGCGGTGAACAGTACTGGGCGGCGGCGTGGGATATTGCAGAGCCACATTGGTCAATAACTTTAAGTTCGCAGTCGGAGAAACATAGTTCGATGAATTTGTTACTTCGGTAAGCACGCATCGTTTTGGTGTAGAAATAATATTATCATCTTCATACATCCTGCGAGAACATTATGTAAATAACCCCGGTTTAAAATGTTCGCACAGTTTTTGACATTTATTGCACAAATCGAGATGGCTACAGAAAGTACTTTGTTTTAAACACTTGTGACTTTCATCGTGTTTTTTATTTTTGGCAAATTATAAAGTAAAATAATAGATTTCTACTAATATTTGATAAATGTACATAACCTAATTGTAAACAACTCTGACATAAAAGCTATTTGACAAAATGGAAATGCGCGCGAGCCGAAGGCGCGGAAGCGCGAGTTTTTTTGTTAATTGTCAAAACAATGTTTAATTCAACAATGGCTAATAAAATTCTAGGTATTTAGGATTCAGCATTATCCAATCCAATAAAGAAATGAAGCTTCATTATTTTATAATGAAAACGCTCTTTTTCGGTTATGTGTTATACCTGTAATAAAATAAAAATTGTGGATTTAAATTATTGTTTCGGTTCGCGATGGTCTGTAGCTAAATATATATTTTTGCTCACTGCTATATAGTTATCTTCGAACTCTTATGTGCAATGACATATGATTGACACTTTTTGTATGTTTTTTGTTTCCCAATTAAATTTACCTCTTTCTCTACCCCTAAAACGCTACCACGACATTGTTGATAAACGATAATGCGATAATAAAAGGTAAAGATGTTTTTTCTGTACATAGTTATATTATATTCCAAAGCGTATCTACTTATTTATACTTGTAATGTTAGTGTTTGTAGTATTTTTAATTTTTGTGTTTAATGGAAACGTAATATCCCTTCAGCCTCAGGACAATGGTACAGATACAAATAAAAATTTTGTGTCGATACAGTCAAAATGTGATTTTTACATATAGGTGTTTACAATAAATATTATTTCAGAGATCATATTGTGTCGTCATTGTGGAAACAGTATTTTAAATTCGTACGCTATTGAGAACAAGAGGAGTCCTGCTGCGTTATACGCTGTCAATGACACGTTGTATAGTAGAGAAAATGTACTGCTGCAAGTTTTAAAAAAAGATATTATTTTTAAGTTCCCTGTTATTACCTCAGACTATTCAAATTGTATAACATTTGATGAGGTGAGTTATTTAGTATTAAAAAATTCTGTTTGAAAACTTTATTATTTTTTACATGTTATTGCACATGAAGGCACTATATAATTTTAAAAATCGAAAATAAATTGAAAAAAAATTTCGACTCGGGCAGGACTTGAACCGACATCGTCGGCGTTCCGTGCTGTTGCTCTAGTAGGACCCGGTTCAAGTCCTGCCCGAGTCGATTTTTTTTTCAATTTATTTTCGATTTTTAAATTAAATTGTCTGTTTCAAAGAGTATGTTTTAAAAGTTACTATTTATATATAATTAGGGGCTGTGTCATGGCTTATACCATAATTAATTTAACTTTTAGTGGGAAGAAGAGCAGTTGTGGTTTCCTGGATATTGTTGGAAGCCTTGTTTGTGTCCCGAATGTGGAGTATTGATAGGGTGGCTTTTCCAAAAACAGAACTTAAAGTCATTTTTGCCTCCTGAACAATTTTATGTTCTAATATTACCAAATCTAATAGGCCAGAAATGTAAGTATGTGGGACAAACATATTACAATATTGTTTTAGCATTTGTTTATAATTTATAACATCATTATTAATTATAATTGTTTATTTTAGTTTTAGATTCACAAATAAAATATCCATTACCCCAGTAATGTCTACAGAACTGTCAGAGAAAGATAAAGCATTTCTAGAAAGTTGTGAAGAAGAATTCAAAGATAGATATACTGAAAAAGATGAAGAATTCATGAAAGTCTATAATGCGGAACCTTCTACACCTCCTATAGTAGAAAACTGGTGGGTTTTCAAAAATTCAAATAGAAGATTTGATAATCGTCACAACAGGAGATTCCATGAATACAAAAGAGGCACATCTGACCAAGAACAAAGAGATAGGAGGAGAGACGACAATAGAGGTTACTCTCGGGGTTACAATGACTATGAACAGCGTGACAGTGACAGAAACAGATTTAGAAGATTCTAAAATTAATTAATATAGAATATGTAAAAGAATAAACAAGTAATTTTTCAAAAGAATATATTCTCAATTATTATGGCTTGATTTACATTTTAACAACTTAGAAATTATTATAGATCACCAGAAATAATACAGCTACAGCGTAAGTTGAAATAAAATGAATAAATAAATATACATTTCTCACTGCTACTCAACAATAGTAACTATAACTAAAATATATTATAACAATTCATTATGCCGATATTGGTTTAAGAATATTCTTTCTCTGACAATTCAATGTTGATAACAATCTAGTAATAATAGTACTGCATGGACAGATGCACTTGCAAATAAACGTGCTTAACAATGCCTTAGATAATGCCGCTACTTCTATGAACAATGATGTATTATTGTGATACCTCACAAAAATATATCTCAATCAATAATCTCATAGCTTAACTTTATAATGCAACAAACTATAGGATCGCCGATGATTCCAGCAATTGATACTAGTTCCAAAAGCTTTCCAATCTAGATAACATGCGAGTAATTGACTCATTACATATATTTTAATGGCTATAAAATCATTTAAATGACAAAAGCAATATGCTGAATTAATCAGATAGAAATAAATTATTCTCAAATCATCTCATGTTTTGTAAAACATTGACATTCGCCTACAGAGTTATAGTTATTTATTATTGAAACTAGACCACACTAAAAATATTGCACAAACTTCACGATCTACTGAATGGGGCAATTCAAGCAACTTCAGCTTTACAATTCCACCAAAAACCGGTAACATCATGCTAAGTGGTACAATTACTAAGCACAATGATTACATTTATAAAGCCTTCTAATAGCTATATTCTCTAATTAACATTATCCGTTTATCTGCTACTCATACTCAAGAGATAACTTCGTAAAAATAATTTTTAGAGTTCATTAATGTAAATTTCTATACTTACGAATGTAATACTCGGTACATTCATTGCTAAGTATAACGAATCGTGTACTAAAATAACCAGCTAAGAATAATGTTACGATATAACAACTCTCGTTATACAATAAAATGCCATATCAATCAAATCACAGTGAAGTGTTAACATAAATTATGCTCACTCTAACTTAAGATTATAACTAAATTACGAACAGACAAACAAAACGAACACTCCACTATTTTAACTAAATCTAATCATACTGATCGCCTCAGCAGTTTATCGAATAAAGTGATTACCAGTCAAATTTCTTTTTGGCAAGTTTAGTCCTGTGTTGCTGAAAGATGCAGTACTACGATAAATAATGTAAACATCGCGAAATTTACATGTTTTAAACTGGGTAACACCGAGACACAGCTTCTAAATACAATTTTTCTATGACCAACGAGGAAAGTATATTTTCATTGAAGAGTAACGGAGACAACTTAAAAAATAATAGACAATATTTTCTAAATTAAAAAAACGTAAATCATAGATAATATCCACACAAAATGACAGATAACAATAAGATGAAAACATTTATCCGAAATTTAAAATGGAATTTGGAAAATTAACTTTCCTAACTGGTCCTACTATACAAATATAAATTTCTACGCAACGTCATACATTGATATTTAATTCATTACAATATCGTTTAGTGTAACGCACAATATTAATTGAATTGACACGTAATCATCAGACTGTCCCGTACCGGGAAGTTGAACAAAGCGAGCTCCATCGCCTCTAAGATTTCCTTACAAACGAATGACAATTGACTAGGATTAACGCACTCGGCGGGAGGTCGGTGCGACCGCGGAACCGATTCTGCTATTTTTGCCTCTAGCCTGGTTTTCTACTTGGCCTATTAGTGACAGGACTCTGGGGTTTTCGTTGTCGCCATCGGTGGCATCTCGCGCCAGTCGCGAACTAGCAGACTCGGGATCCGCGCCTCGGGGGAAACGCGAGAATGTAAATCGAAAACATTGGTCGAGGTTCAGTACTTTTGACTAGAGTTACGCGGGGGCGGGCGAGCGTCGAGTCGAGTACTATGTAAAGGGTCGACTTGTAAAAGTGTCAAATTGTCGTAGCAAATTTCATAAGACAATTAGTGTAAAGCTGCAGGGTGTGGCGCGGGCGGTCGCGTGCTCGCCGAGGCCGCTCAGATGAAGGTCCAGCACTCCATGATCTTGACGATGAAGTCCTCGCGCGTTGTGAGCGGTTCGTTGCCGTAAGTGGTGCAGCGCTGCGTGCGCCCCAAGTACAGGTCTCCGTCTAGCCAAATGCCGAATTTGCCGCTGCAGAGTAATGTAAACGTTACGTAATCGATTACACACAAGTATTTAAAATATGGGCAAGCAATTATCTGTAAGTTTCGATGTCTTTTATTCACTGTCAAATAATTAAGATTACCCTATCGGATACAAACATTTATTATATCTCACTGGAATTTGAATGCTGCCCGAGTGCTGCACTTTAAACACTGCTTTGTAACGTACGACAAAAGTAAGGCTCATATAATAAGGATTCAAAAAGAGCAACAAATTGTAAAAATGTATACTTACTCGCCGGCTCCAATAGATATGTTGTCGTTGCTCCCACGAATAAAGTACATATTGTCCCCAGTCCAACCCCAGTATTTGAATTTCGTTTTGAACGCCGCAACTGTTTCTGTAAAATGATACAATTTCAATAATTTTTAGTTTATTAATCCCTTGTTGCATCGTATTATCTTCAAAAATAAAAATAGTACCATAATATATAAAGTCTCACCTTCTTTTTCATCCTTATTTTCGTCTTTCTTCTCATCGAGGTCATCTTTGTCCTTGGCGCCGTCGCTCTTGTCCGAAGGTACCCGTGAACGTGGCTCGTCGACCCGTTGGAAGGAGAAGAGCAGGGACTCGCCCGTGCCGTAGAAATGTTCCGACGGGCGAAGTGCGCATGATGTCAAAGCCCCGAACACCTGCACAAATGATTCAAAAAAATTAAATTACGCTTCTCTTTATAATCGCATACAAATTAATGTATACGAAATAGCACAGACTGAAAATCAATCCGTAAGTCGGTCTCTTAGTATACGCTGAATTATAATCTGCTTTATTATCTTGTAGCACAAAAGTGAAGACTGTATTTTCTATTGTTGTGTTGTGTCGTGTTGGTGTAATTATTAGCAATGTACGGCTAATAATAATCATAGGTAATTTTGGTACGTTCAATGTCCACTGGTTCCGATATGTTTCTATACAATTTATAACTTTTCTGAAACGCAGGAAATCAGGAGAGTGAATGGTTGGTAGGAATATCTAAATTCCATCCGGTCACCAACAACCGTCCACAGATGAAAAGCCGTGAAGTTTGAACGCGTTTCGAATACAATCTGTGGATTTCTGAATATCTGCATTTCACCTACCATCAAGTGAAACCCTTATCGTCTGTCCTCCTCTATCAAAAAAAATATAGATAATAAAATGTATTATAACGCTATAAAAGATTTATGCTGTTTGGCAATACACTATTATTTCGATTTGGTAATAGACATTTTGATTTGAAGCTTTCAAAGATAATATTAAATAAGTAACACAACGTAGTGACGTCCTAAGCATTATAAGCAGCGATTATAATAAGTACCTAATTGCTAATCAGTAATTAATATCTACCTTACCACCGTAGCGTGTAAATACATTGCGTGGGAACTATACAAGAATATCCTACTTCCGTACTTGTACATTTTTAATTTTTGTATACGAAGAAATTTGTTAATAATGAAATTAAATGAATAAATCCTTGCATTACATGTTTATAATAATTGTCCTCGCCTCGTTGCACGTCGTTTAACGCATGACTGGTAACATTTAAAACTGCGTATTAGTGATTGTAAGAAATTAAAAGTAATTATTCCATGCATTATATTGACTTATCAATACAAATTACATATATTTGGAGAGTCTGAAGGCCGGCATAATATGATCAGACGTTTCCCCGAGATGAAACGTCAGCAGACAGTGCTGGATTTACAATTTTTTATGAAAGATGAAGACAGTCAAGATTGGCATTCACTCTCTGGAAGGTAAGGATACTCAGCCATATAACATCTTAACAAGATACCCTGTCGACCTATTATAACAATCGACATTCGGAAATCAATGCTTTTTCATCTGTGGATAGTGGTTCGTGTCCCGAGTGGAATATTCGATAGGATCATATTCCACACATTAGTATCCAGATTTCCAGACGAAGTCCAAAACGTTTCAGAAAAATTATAAATTGATTATAAACATGTCAGACAACGTGGGGATCAAACCCACCCAAATTCACCCGTTGACTATTAGCCATATATTGCTACCACCACACCAACAAGCCTGTCTAAATGTGTCCTCGCCGAAAGAGTGAAAACGGCCAACTTACGTTATTGTCGGTGTCTTGAATAACGAGTAGCACGGGGCTGTCCACACGTTGCATCTTACGATACATGGAGGCGAGGGAGAAACCGTGCTGGCTGGTACTGAACGCGAGCGACCACATGTAGCCCTGCGCACGCGCTGGCAAAACGCTGCACAACTTCTCTCTGGAATACAACAAAATTACTTTTAATAACAATCTATATCTTTTATATATGTGTACAAATAACTATTTATGTGTTGTTATCTATTTTTTAACTTTTACATAATTTCGCAACAAGCTTTATTGAAAAAACAATTACGACACTGACTTAACCCAGCCACAGCGTTCAGTGCTGTTTCGTGCCGACCAATCGTTAGTTCAAGTATTGTCCGTGAAGTATAATTTGTTCTATTAAAAATGTATTTATAAAATAAATATATCACAGCGCCTGTTAAAAATAATTAACATCTGTATTGATATGTTTTAATACAAATTCAGTATTCTACGCAAAATCGTGGCCACATCTAGTAGTCACTATAAACATACATTGTACTGAAAGTGTATTTTGCCCCGCAACCTGACTTTGAACCTTTAATTTCAAAGCCCGCTGCAAGAAGTCGCGTTGAAGTAAAAACAAGACTATAATAGTATGTTTATTTATTATTTTAATATTTAATTGACCGTAGTTACGAGTGTAAGAAATTGAATATAGAATTAATATTTCGCATTGCCTTTCAAATGAATAAAAGTAAAACAGGTTGGTAACAATTTTTAACCAAGAAGAAAGAACCAATCTCCATAATACTACACATGTATATAATAAAGATGTACTTTCGTGGATAAGAAAAATTAAAATTCCAACTTCACTTTGTTTTAACTGAGATTCATTTCTGTGTCTGTTTCACAAAACACTGTCTGTAGTTAACGCGAGTAGTACAAATTTAATTAAATTTGTACTACTCGCGTACACTTATTTGAAAAATATATTATGACTTTGACCCGACATTTCGGATGCTTTGCAGCAACCGTGATACAAGTAGACTTCCCGTTAAGTTTAAAGTAATTTTCAAATAAGTTTAACTAATATGTATATATCGCGTTTTAAACCGTTAGTGTTTTATTTAAACCCGTTTCATTAATCGATAGACGGGGATCAAGCTTCTGTGTGTAATCGGACTAGAAGCATCACAAAAACTATTTTATTTACTAACATCAGGTCCGGATTCGAATCCCGGGACCTCTTGTAGTCAACGCAGCTTTGCGTACACGTACTTTTGTTGTATCTATTTGAATATTTATACGCGTGTTTAATAGTTGTAAAATCATGCGTTGCTTGCATATGCATGCCAAGTACCTGTGCTCCATGGTAAAGATCTCCGAAGTGCCGATGAGATCAGGGGGCGAGAACTCCATGTCAACGGAGGCGCTCGAGGAGTACAACGCCCGTCGCAACTCATCGCTCATAGACAGCACCTACAAAAATATGGTAATTAAAACTGCGATCTACATAAGGAAACTTGCCATTCACGTTTATTTATAAACGCTAACATTTTTCATCCATCTACAGTGGGTGAATGTTAAACCGGATTAACTAGCGAACAACAAAACGTAAATATGTGAAACACGAGACCTTTTCTCGAAATTTACAATGTGATACACGACGGTAAGTGTATGCTAAGTTGGGCTATCGATACACATTAATACATTTGTGTTTGACATTTAAATTAGTTGTAGGTTTATGTATAAGATGCTATATCTACTTTACAATTACATAGTAGATTTTTTAAATGACAATTTCGTGCAGAATATCATTTATTGAATAAATTCTAAAATCACAAGATAGTGCGCCATGCTATAAGTGTTAAAATTAATAAGATAAACGACAAACGTGATATTAATGAAGATGATAATAACAACGGCAAGATGCACTGAGGCTGCTGTCTCCAATAAACGCAGTAACCCGCGTATAGATTCGTTACTTCGAATGGGACTTAAATATGACGTTATTTTAAATGCGATTTATAGCGACTATAGGAGACCACAGCCTAATGAGATCACATTCCGAACACTACAGCTCACATTCAACAAACTGTCACGCGAGCTATTTCCTCTAGTCTACCGACTACCAAATGAAATCATAAATTCATATACGACATCGAGTTACCTATTATTTATGAACGCGCACCTACATAATGTTGATTTTCCAGATGTTACAAAAAGGAAAAGTAAGTACTGGTCGTGCGTCTCTATCCTTACGTATACGCTAAAGCGAGATGCACATTTATTTACCACACCAACATATGAGCGCTGTACAAAAATAAATCCATCAAGAATTTTAATCTCATTACATGTCAGTATCAACGCTGATCTTATACTTATACGAATTTCAGAAAATTGGAAATGTAGGTAATTAACTTATTATAATAGAACAAAAAATATGTACAATGTCTCGGTTCAAAAAGTTTTGTTTTATATATAGTGGTATGAATAACCTCGACCAAGGTATTCAACAAAAACTTCACGCACAGATCAACTATGCAAAAAAAAACCGCTATTCCTTATTTAAAATCACATGCATGTTTAATTTAAGAATTCTGCTATATTCTTAAATTAAACATTCATGTGATTTTAAATAAATAACATGGCTGGAAACCGCAGAACAGGTATTATTTAGGTACTTATAAGGGTTTCCAGATCAAAAGAAGACATGACGAGCTCAATGGTGCAATGCTAATATCAAGGCTAAAAATCAACGGGTCGTGGTTTGATCCCCACGGGGTCCAAAAAGTTTGTAATCAAATTTTTATTTTTTTTTATCTATCGCCTAAATGTTGAAATATACCGATAATCGTCATTAAAAGTCACATGCATGTTTAATGTAGAATATGGCAGAGCTAAAAACCGTGGCACAGGTATTATTTACTTAAAAGGGTTTCCAGATCAGAACTAGATTGATGTAAACAATTTGTTACATGAATTAATACTTTATTTTTCTTCTTAAGACAGGTAACACAGCCTCACCTCGCGAATACACTCCAAAGTGCCTCTCCTACTGGAGGGACAAATCGTCGCTTTTTTTGATCTTTTCAACTTTACTTTGAGAATTATTTGATCCGCCCTCTCCACTTTCTCCGCGAGCTTTTTCGCTAACTTTCCCAACATATCGTTGATCAACGGTAATAATAATTAATAAGCACTAAATTATGGAAACGGACTTCTTAGGGAACATTAAACGTCTGTATAGTGGTGGCGACTGAATCTCGCTCCGTTTGATGTAAATATCAGTATCAGACGATAATTCTGTTATCTAGTAATTCAAATAATTTGCGAATATCACGCATAATATATATTTATGAGTAAAGGATTAGCAGTTGTGTTATTCTGTAATCCAATAACCTATCTAAAAAAAAAATATGGCGGCGATTATAATTTTTTATACTCATTTAATTATTATAATAGTTTATAAAGGTGGGTGTGGGTAGTGATAAGAGGGTGTGTCGATGAAGTTGACTTGATAACCATATAATATCTTAACAAGCTGTCGACCTATTTGGACTTTGGATATTCGGAAATTACCTACGACCCATTAAATTTCTAGATTTCCGGACGGAGTCCAAAATGATTCAAAAAAGTTATAAATTTAGAATCATGTTGGACCCGGCGGGGATCAAACCTATGCCCATTGATTATTAGCCGTACATTGCTACCATTTGACCAACGAGTCCGTCAAAACTTGTTAAAGAACAGGATAGGCACCTGAAATGAAATGCTAAAACGTTTGGAGTAAGCTAGGATACATAAACAGCATGATGATTTTATTAGTTTTAAATTTGAAGACTATCTAATATATAAAATTCTCGTGTAACAGTTTTCGTTGCCATACTCCTCCAAATTTCTTGTGCTATCCGGTATCTATGAGAATCAGCCAACATCTATTCTTCATCCCCTAAATGTTAGGGGTAGTCCGCCCAAAGTTTTTTTATTATTTATTAGACAAAATTTCTAATTTTTATTTTTTTATGATACAACATACAAAAATACATACAATCCACAATTTTCACCATTCTACGATCAACCCTTATTTTTATATGGCAAAACAAAGTTTGCCGGGTCAGCTAGTTTCTTTATACAACTTCGTTTTTGTTTTTTTTTCTGTCAAGGTAGCCGCTATAAATATTCACACATGCGGGCTTACTTGGTATCTCGCTCACTGGATGTACCCTTTTTAGTCCGTAAGCAAAGGCATCTAAATCATAATTCACATTTTATTAACAATTTATAGAAGTAGTTGAGCTTTCGACACCCAAAACTAAGGAGGTCAAAACCTACAGTATACATTTGTCTACGTATTAGATACTTCTTCTACTATGTTGCAGGTACACTATTATGTTTAATTATTCGTATACCGTAATAACACAATTATTGAGCAATTGCCTCCACTTTTGAAACCAGTTTACAAATTGACATTTATTTGCAATACCATTCTTACGATGCAGGAAATATAAGCGTTGCTGAAAGTTAATTAAGAAATAGGTCGAAATTATTTTCGACCATTGCACGGAAGACTGGTGTGACGGTCGAAGCCAGAGGTTATCATATTTCACATATCGCTAGTTATACAATATAAAAATCAAGTAGTTAAATGAATTGATATCGAACATTACGGTATTAATGTATACGTTTCGTTCGGTACTTAGTTACGATTACTCAATAACCTTTTTTTATTGTTAAAACTGTATCACCACTATACCAGCGAGTAAATTTTGTGTGTACTACAACAATAGATTTCTTTTTAACGTAAATTGAGATATGAAATATTAAAGAATGTATGGCGTGTCCATTGGGATTAGTCTCCAAATTGGGGGAACACAATTTGTTGTTAAAATCCCCAATTGGTTAGAGCAACACTACGGAACGCCATGAATGCCGGTTCAAGCCCTGCCCGTGTCGTAAAACTTTTTCAATGTACAATAGATTTTTAATTAATATATTTTTTTATTACTTATACAATAATGTGAGGCTTACAAAGTATTCGTTATTACTGAGTATTTTTTTATAGGTACAACGTAAACAAATTAATGCAATTTCGTATCGCGGCACTGTAAGGTTATTTTGTATGCGGGTGTTATCTTTAAAACCTAAACATTACCAAGTGTTTACTGCATTCAGACACGTAATATCTATCACTGTAGCGATTAGAGAGTAACGATTTTCGCACACTTTCGTAACGAATAACGGCATGTCAATCTCACCTTGTCGTTGTCGAAAGTGGAAGACCTCTCCGGCGTAGGCCCGAGCCGGACCATTTCTATCCATTTCATAGTCTGCATTTGTGCAAGGTTTCCTCATATAAAAACGCCCGATTCGTTACTCAAACTATTCACAAACACGTAAGTGGGTTTAATGTTATTCAAAAAACTGCGCGTCAAGATCGTTTATAAACACAAAAAATATTTGTATCTCTGCCGACCGGATTCGCGTACTTTGTTTATTGTAGAAAGGCATCGACTTGCACTCACGACGAGGCTATCGGGCTTCGATTATTGCGTGAGAAATTAAAAAATACAACCGAGCGGCGAGTACGCAGCACCGCTGCTTCGGGACTAGCTAAAGGCTAAAAAAGAACCGCTGGGTTGTTAACGCCGACCCCACCACAGTAGGACGACAAAAACCACGTTCGCCGGCTTACGGCCTAGCGTTTGCCCGCACTACGTTCACTTATATTAATTATTTTATATTAATCTTTAAACTTAAACTATAAACTTAGTCTTTAGACAGATAAAAGTTAGCCATAGACTTCGGATCTATCGATACTAATTAAGTACAGATTCCCTTGTATCTTGTTTGTTTTGTAATCGTATATTAAAAAGTTAACAAAAAATGTCCGGACGTGTGATGGCATTGGGACAATGCATATGTTGTCGTCTACTATATGAAACACTGTACGTGTTGTGTGCGAAGGTCTCCCCACTTATTTTGACTTATTGGGCGGCGCTAGACCGAGGATACCGCTGACCGTCATGACGACAGAATAAAAATATTTAACAAAACTTTATTGTTTAGTACGACCTATGTAAATAAAGCAAAGCAATAGTAATTACGGTCTACATGCTCCGTTACAAGAGATTATGCATTTATATAATAGTGTTTTTAAAATAGATAATGCATTGGATGTTTTCTCTAAATCTTATAAATTTAAAACACAAATTTTAAAAACTGTTATTATTGCTGTTAAATTGCGCATTTAAATTTTCTTTTATATATCTAATTTCATAGCAACGTTGTGCTTGCCTTTAATTTAAACATAATCGTCATATAAATGATATTATAGTTTTAGATTAAGCTCTTATTTTGTATTTAGTTGGTAAGCCTCTTTTAAATAAATAAACATATAGTTATATTAGTATGGGCACATTTGTGCCCCAACGTTTCACTGGTCAAATTTATCGACAGGCTTGGTTGATCAGTCTATT